CAAAACGCCACTAAACGCTAATGCAAAAACACTAAAAATAGCTGACAAATTCAAGTTTTTAAGGTGACTTTACACCACTAACGTTACCAGTGTTATCAAAACGTCCAGTGTGCATGAGGGCTAATAAGCATATCTAGTAACTTGCCAGAAATGACTCAGCAATGCTGGAATTTTGGAGAGTGGGTTGAATGAAGGTAAGGGATAAAACAAACACTGCAGCAGCTAGAGATGGGGCATACTTCATTAGTGGTAATTTATTTTTACTGTAAAAATATACAAAAATTGTTTTCAACTGGTGTTCAGCTGTAAGATTGATTGAGAAAACTGAATCCAAAATCCCCCTGTTCAAAACAAGCAAGACAGGTCCTCAAAGCCAACAAATGAGAAACGGGGTGGAAGATTTGTCCTTGGTATAACAGATCTGGCGGGCCACAGAGTTTTAACTAACAGGCAAAAGGTTGGTGTAATACACTCTCTGAGGCAAATCTGAAGCTAATAGATAGCCTGGAATGGCCATGGCCTTGATCCTTTGAAGTAGCTGAGGTAAAAGCTTCAGTGGAGGAAAGGCATACATCAGAGTATTCCATGACTAGTGTAGAAGAGATGTGTTGTCAGATATTAACACCCCCAAAAACATACTTACCCAACTTCTGAAAAACCCCCCATTTCCCAACACTCCCTCCACCAATAAGAGGAGACCACACTTTGTTGGAGTAAAATGGCCTTCACGGCCTTTTATTAGCAATTTAACCTAAATATACAGAAAACATTCCTAAAAACAGAAATCTCCATAAACTTACGGAATGAGTTATTGGTCTAGGCAGGCACCCAAAACAATATTGATCGCTCCCTGCGGAACCTTCACGATAATGTTCCTACTAGGCCTCCAGCCGCAACGCACCGACTCGGAGACAAGGACACACCTTCCGCAGGTAGACCTCTACCTTCCAGTTAAACCTTGGTTAACTGGAATTTACCGGGCACACCATACCACAGATGGATCCCAACCATACATTTATCATCACAAACCATTAACAACCTACCAAGACCAACAACTGCCACCAAATTAAACAAGCCAAAGCAGAACAAAAACACCCCAGGGGAAGGCGGGTGGGAACTTCTTTCTTTAGCTGCTAACCAGCACTGGCTCGTCCGACCCCCCCAGCACTCCCCCAAGATTCAGGATGATCCCACCCAAACCTACTAACACCAATCAGGTAACCTTACTATCTTTTTAACCCTTCCCCTTTAACTTAACCCTTTCCTGTCTTTTCTCCCTCTTCACCTAGTCATGTCTGCCCTGCACTATTCTCTCTTTCTTTCTTTCTTTCTTTCTTTCTTTCTTTCTTTCTTTCGCTACAGGCACCCCTATCCCATTGTGCCACCAGAGCATCTAGTACCTCTGCTGTTAGGTCCCACAAACTGGAAATAAATCTGTCTAGCTTTTTGTTAAACTGAGATACTGGCAAATCCACAACTGTTGTCCCCAACACAGACATACATGTATTATTGGAACACCTCCAGATGGAGAATCCATTGCCCAGGTCCAAATGTTGCCTTCTGAGAAAATCTGCGTGCCAGTTTCTACCCTGGGAATGTGCACCAAGAGGATCCCTGAAACATGAAACTGTGTCCAGGAAAGGATATTTTGTCCCTAGCAACACCCCTAGTGCCCCCTGATAATAAATGTAAGCCACATCTGTGATATTGTCAGATCGAGTTCAGATCGAATGACTGGTTAGAAGAGGACAGGAGTCCAATGACAGGAGTCCAATGACAGGTGAATTGTTCATAACACCAGACTGTTGATTGAAGCATCAATTCTTCCTGAGGCCAAGAACCCTAAACAGACAGAGGACCCAGAGCCCCCCCCCCCCACCTCAGAAGACTTACAAAGTTTAATTGTAAGGGTTGGAAAAAATCTGTTCTCTGACAATGAGGATAGAAGTCACCATGACATAGACATCTTTGGTTTGAGGATGTACAGCTCTACAGCTCTGGTCAAAAGTTTTGAGAATTACACAAATATTGACTTTTTGCATAAATCTAATGTAATTGTCAATAAAAGTCTTTGACACTTATGAAATGCTTCAATATACCATGTATCATCTGACAAAAAGATCTATACAGTAAAGCAGCAGACTTTGTGAAAATTAATATTTGTCATTCTCAAAACTTCTGGCGAGGGCTGTAATCTGATTTTCTTGTGATAAAGATTAGATTTGTCCCATGCCATGAATGTGCACAAATGCAAAGTTCTTCAGTGGACCTGAGCAAATGGAATGGATTTGAAGGTGGATATCATCAGTCCCATTGCTGATTTTTTTTATTACTTTAGTTCTGCTTTAATTGACTATATTATTTTTAGAATTCTCTTTCCATTTACACTTATAACGAATGTTCAGTAAAATTCTTTTGGGGATCAGTAGCGATCAGTATTGTATGCTGCTTTTAAGATTTTGCAAGAAGCACGATACCATAACTGAGCTGGAAAATGCAGAGTCAGTAGGAGCTGCTTGCTGGAATACTGCCATATCATGTCATACCAGTGGATGGCTTCATCAGAAATGACAGGAGAGAGAAGTTATTCCCCTAATGAGGAGCCCCTCTGAATCTAAATATTCCAAGACATATGATTCTCAGAGAATGATCCCTGCTAACTGCCACTAAAGCATACACTCTGATTTGACCCTGCCAAGTATTTTGATCTAGATCCTGGCATCATAAAACTAGAACAACAGAAAATGCTTAATAATTGCACTAATGAGCATTACAAGCCAAATAGAAACCAATACAACTATAGATGTGAACTGTACATTAGCTGACTGATTATAACCTGAGCATAAAAATATAACAGTAATAGCCTGTAGTCTAAAATAAAGGTAGACTGGTTACAACGATGGGGAAGAGGTGACTTTTCTTCTTACTGTCCAATGTCTGATTTTCTGTTCTGCAAATCAGAGATGCAGATGATAGAATATTAATGGGGTCATGAATGGTTAATGCTTAACATACTGAGTATATCATTAATGTATATCCATATCTAACTACCCTTCTAGCATTAAAGTGGAGTTCCACTCATTTTTATGTTTATTAAAAGATAGCAGCCACAAAAACTGTACACACTCACCTGTCCCAGGGTCCAGCGACGTCCCTTATCTCCCTTTTCTGTCCCCGGTGCCAGCACCTCAACTGTGGGCACCAGGCTGTGACAGCTTGCAGCTTCACAGCCGGGTGCCCACTGTGCATGTGTGAGTCACCTTGCACATCCTGATTGGTCCAGCAGTCTTCTGTGATTTATGAAGGTTCCCAGGAGACTGCGGGAGGAAGGAGGGGGGCCAAACTTCTAGAAGCCGGAAGTAGGACCAGGTACCTGTCAAAACCAGGGATCTGCTCCCCCCCCCCCAAAAAAAGTGCCAAATATGGCAGTGGAGGGGGAGAGGAGGCAAACAAGCAGAGCTTCCACTTTTGGGTGGAACTCCGCTTTAAAAAAGCCATAGCTTTATGCATCATGCAGCATCCTGTGCCTGACCCGCTGTATGAAAGTGCATAGAATATAGCAGAATCAGACCACTTTAATATACAATGAGTAGACAGATGCAGTAAAGGAATACAATACAAATAGCAACTATACCATCCATTCATTTTCTGGGAATTTGAAGTGCAGCTCCAGTTTTCCTGAGAAAAAAGAAACAATACCCTGAAGACAAGGTAATATATAGAGTTTTATAGGCTGCTATTAGCAAGGTTGGATGGAGCACCTGTGCCACCTGCCCACACCAAAGCGCCTAAGACCCCTTTCACACAACCGTTCCAATCAGGTGCACCTATCAGTTTTTCAGATTGGAATGTCCACTCATTTGGACCAGCAGTTGTAAACAAACCTGTGTCCTTTTAAATAAAGTAAATTTTTTGCTGACATTAGCCTAAGTGAAATTCAATGGCATTCACCAGGCATTCCACAATCACATTTACCTTATTTACAATAGGATGAAGGTGGTGTGTCAGGTGTATGCAGCAGCCAGTGATCAGCCAACGAATCTAACTTGTACAGTAGACGTAAAGAATATTTTTGACCTGCATGCCAATCTGCCAGCAGTTTTAGCTGTATAAGGCCCCATTAACATACCACTTAACAGGACGAAGATTTCCCAATGACAATTTTTGTTGTGTGATTTTCACTCACTTACTTGATGTGCATAGGGCAGCCCATTCTCTTCAATGGGCTGCCCTATGTGCATTTGTTGCCCAAAAGAAACTCTTGCTATTTTTTGTGCACCAAGCTTAGTGTGATATTTAAACGTGTGTTTTGGTGCGATTGCTGCTGCTTGATAATGGTGGCAGATTCGCATCGTGTTTATGGTGCCATAAAGAATTATTGCATCCACATGCACTTCGAGTGTTTTGTCGTGATTTGGAATTGCAGGCAGTAGAAATCATGGCAATTCTGCCCGCAGTTTCAATTTGTGTAATGTGAACAGAACCTTAGGGTTAAAGTATATAAAAAGGCAAGAAATAGGTCAAAAGGTTGGGGTGCTTATGTATCACTTACCTGCCTGTCATGAGGTGGGGGCAAGTTGGTGGTCTCCCTCTCCCCGGTGAACTGGTTTCAGAGGTCTCTCATAATGAGTCCCATAACCAGTTCACCATGTGGACAGGTAAAACGTTTAATCTAAATTAACACCTTGTCATTTGTTTTAAAATACCTAATATTCTTTAACCTCTCAGGTTCCACTGATGTCTGAAGATGTCCTGCGATGTCTCAACAAAACTGCATTACTTTAAATTAAAATTTAAATTAAATGTATGTCCTTTTTTCCCACAAATGGAGCTTTCTTTTGGTGGTATCTGTCTTTTTTATTTTTTTGTGCTATAACCAAAAATAGACCGACAATTTTGAAAAAAAAAAAAAAAAAACCAATTTTTTTGACTTTTTGCTGTTAAACATGTCCAGTAACAAAACTTAAAAAATCAAATTTCGTCATGAATTTAGGACAAAATGTATTCTGCTCCATGCCTTTGCCAAAAAAAACCCCAATACGTGTAAGTTAATCGGTTTACGTGAAAGTTATAGCTTCTACAAATGGCAGTATATATACTGCTAGTAATGGCGGTGATCAGCAACTTATAGCAGGACTGTAACGGGCATTCTGAAACTGACTAACTGCCACTGACATCCCCAGTGACACTAATACAGTGATCAGTGCTAATAAAAAGGGGTTAACATCTGGGTGTGATCAAAGGGTTAACTGTGTGCTGTGTGAGTTTCACATTATGTGCCGTGTGCTGTTTTACTATGTAAGCATGCTGCTTTGTATTGCTCTGCTGTGCAGAGCAATACAAGGCAGCATGCTGGTGCTGACAGGGCTGAGATCTGTATTGTTTACATACAGACCTCTCCCCTGTCAGTGTTCCTCGGCGATCACCGGTTGCTAGCAGTTAATTTCCATCCGGAACTCAGGGATCGACATCAGTATCTGCCCATGCGCCCCCTACCCGGACCTCTCCACATATACGTGAGATTTTGCGCAGCCCTGCCAATCCTAGGGAATGTGAAGCAGCATGCCTTCTGTCCAGTATTGTACAGTAGAATGATCCCTCACCTGTCTTAAAGGGAGAGCAACCCAATCCCCTACATCACACCCGGCCAAGGTAAAAATTGGAAAACACACGCCCAAGCCAGCAAGAGAACAGCCAGCCAAACAGTCCCTGGGCTACTCTAAAGATGGCGGCTGTTCATACACACAATGCACTCTCCCGCAGCAGGACAAACACAAGAAGCCAGTGATGGGGTTGTCAGCTCAGAGAAGCCTTTCTGATTTATGTTAGGCCATTGCATTTGTCAAGTCCTGTTGTTTCTACTCCTGGGCACTCTACCTGGATTCTGTGGACCTCAGTATGGTACTGTGAGTACATTGCATCCTTTCATTCATTACTTCTCACATTCTTCATGCAATACTGCTTGAATTTCACTAAATGGCACTGTTGCTGCTTCTCAATGAACATAGAGATATTTTCAGCTGAACAAACTATTCCCATGTTGAGGCTGTTCCTGGGTTTCTTTATGTTTTCCTTGTTCTTTTACCCAGCACAATTTTTTTGGGAGGGTTGGCATAGACATGCCCCCACACCTTTCTACACGTTTTGGGGAAATGTTTGTTTCAGGTTCGGACAATGAGCTGAGTGGGTAGATTGGGCAAAGGTTTTCTGTAACTGCTGTTATGATTGCTTTGATATTCACCTGCCACTTATTTCAATGTGTGCTTGTGCATTGCTGGACTAGGGGTATACTTCCATATTTCTTTCAGTTCATCCCTTGTTTAATAGTAGTCATGAGTGTTAGGTTAATAACTTGGAATTACTTCAAAGTCAAGAGATCCCTTGTATTTAAACAGCTTAAATGCATCAAGCCACAATTTATACAACTCCAGGAGACTCACTTGACTGGGTCAAGGGTAATGGTACGGAAAAGACCCAATACTGTATATTACATGCACTTCATTCTACTTATTCATTACCTTCCAGGGGTGTATCTATTTTAGTTGCTAAATCCCTAATTTATATATAAAATAAGTTCTCACGAAACCATGGGGCTGTTATGTTATTCTAGTAGCACATTACCTAGATAAATATTATAATTTTGTGAACATCTACTTACCTCCACTGTTCAACATCCAAAAATGTAATCAATGCATGCATAATGCCCTCACTTTTGCAAAGACCTCCTTCTTGATAGATTCTGCAGCAGTTGATCATACCCCTCGGTCTTAAGAGAGTGGATAGAGGGATATATCCCTGTTGACGCATGGAGATGGAGGCACCCTGTTCGTAGAGTATTCCTGTCAATCTGATTCGCACAGTACTTTATCTAGAATGGATATTTTCTTCCTATCTACTGATATACTGCACATAATATCTGATATACAATACTTACCTAGGGCTGTTTATGACCATGCTTCCTTGGAAGGATTTAGCATTTGGAGAATGGGCCCATATTAGTTAAATAATAATCTAATGGTATTGCCAAGTGCCAAGATGATATGAATCACTATTCACAGGAAATGACCAGGATGCTTCTGAGAGCATCAAATAGGATACCTTTCAGGCCACTATGAGAAGCTCCTTTATGTCTGGGATAGCTCAAATAAAAAAAGCTATTCAAGAATTGCTTAATTTGAGTCAAAAGGTCTTAGAAACTCTCAGAAGTGAACTTACAGCAACTTCCAAGTTTGGAAGGATTCACAAAGGCTGCATAATCTGGCTACCATAAAAACAAAAACAAAAATACACTAGAAAAACTGCTTTACTAAGCACAACATGTCTTTGCATCTAGAAACAAGAATGGTCAGTTGCTGTTTGAGCAAAACCCTTTACCTGAACCCTCTACTATTCCTAGGAATTTTGACCATCACTCTGTTCTGCATACATCCACTGACCAAATCAAGGATGCCTTTCCATGGTTTTATTCTAAGCTGTAGTAATCACAAGCACATTATGACCCCCATGATCTATCCATTACCTTAATATATCTAACCTATGCCCAAAAGTACTCCTGGAAGAACCTCTTACTAGTGAAGAAATAGCACATGCTCTGGGCACTTTTGCCAAGCATAAAATGCCAGGCCCAGACAGTTTTCCCATTGAATGGAACCTAACACATAAGGAAAGATTGCTTGCGTGATTAGCAAGTCTGTATGCAGGCACTTTTGAAGATAAACTACTCCTATTTTCTCTGTGGGAATGTTTGGTAGTATTAATCACAAAACCCAATAAGGATTTTGTCTATTGTGAATCGTTTTGGCAATCTCCTTAATTGATACCTATCCCAAAATCCTTTCTAAAATACTGGCTCACTCTTTACACTCTTTACAATCTACACATTCCTAACATCACCATAATCCCCAGAACCATAGTGGCTTTAGATTTCATTAAGACATTTGACTGTATAGAACAGGGGTGTCAAACTGGCGGCCCTCCAGCTGTTGCGAAACTACAAGTCCCATCATGCCTCTACCTTTGGGAGTCATGCTTGTAACTGTCAGTCTTGCAAGGCCTCATGTGAGGAAATGCTTGTAGCTTCTGATTTCTTAGACTATAGACATGATTGGCACCATTCCGGTTTCCAATCAGCTCTATGGTCAGCTGGCAGAAACACCGGCTACAATATCAGGTTCCCCCGACGGCGCGTTACTGCCCGAGAAGGCCATGGAAGACAGCAGGGGGGGGGCATCTTCTCCCCCTGCTTGGCAAAGCAATCCTGCAGCTAATTAGCCACTAGGATTATACCAGGTTATACCAGGCATCATCCTGGTATAACCACTCAAAGTCCAGCGATATACCAGTATGTCGCTGGTCCTTGTTGGGTGTATATGCTATGTTCTCTTTTTCATGCAGCCTGTGGGCTGAATGAAAAAAAGAGAAGAATCTCTGCCAAAAAAAGTGTGTGGTATGCCCACCATTATAATATACTGCCCTGCATCCACCCACTTCTAATGGTGGTCACACATGAAATGTGCCAAAAAAAATATAAAATATATATGCCGAAGCATAGGGGCCATCCACCCACTGGCCACCCCAGGCCCCCAAGCTCTTTTTTTAACTGCGGATGAAAAATCTCATCCAACAGCACTGCACACACCTACTTATGTATATTCTGAGAGCAAGACCCTGTTGCTGCAAGAAAAAAACAAGTCGGTGCTGCAGCTGAATGACATCCTCATTTCTCAAGTAGGCTTTTCTCCCCTTTCTAAGATGGGTATTTACAAGCCGTTAGGGAAAGCCCCGGTGATTAGGTCTAACGGTGCCACATGCGCCAATTCCAAGATTGTACAAATGTCTAAATAGTGGCACGTGTGAATATAAATTGTCAATGTATTAGTGGTGCCCCATATGGAAAAAGGATGACATCAAGTCCCAAGCTATCTTGCCACTGCTCCCCATGTAGTCTGGGCATCCAGGGGGCTCCACGTAAATCTGAAACTTATATGTATAGCCTGTTGCCCTCTCACAGGTCTTATACATCTTGACCCCATATCTGGCATGCTTGCTGGGGAGAAATTGTTTGAATGCAAGGCGGCTAGAAAAATAATGAGGGACTCATCAACGCAGATGTTTTGCTGGGAAGTATAGACATCTGCAAATTTTTGGTTAAGATGATTTACGAGGGGCGAATTTTGTGGAACTGGTCAAATTCAGCGTCACCCCGAGGATGACAGAGTGTGTTGTCATTGAAATGCATAAAACACATTATACTCTCATATCTATGACTGGCTATGGCAGCAGAGAACAAGAGCATATGATGAATCGGGTCTGTGGACCAATTAAACCGCAATTAATTTCTTCTAGTAATGCCCACGTTGAGTGCTAGTCCCAAAAAAACTTTAAACTCGGAAACTGGAATGGGTTTCCATGGGAACAGTCTGGCAAGGTTTGAACTTGGGTTAGCGGCAATAAACTGTTGTTCATATAAATTGCTTTTATCCACAATAAATGCATACAGATCTTCTGTAAAAAACAGCTAAAAAAAATCAAGTTACATTTGCTGATTCCACCTGAATTCCGGGTTGGGCAGTGAATGGGAGAAGCACGGGTGCTGCAGAATTTGTGGGCTACCAATTGGGATTTGCAAGCACATCTGGAAGGATACCAGGGGCTCTACGGGCCTGTGTGCGAATTCTTGGTGGATGGGGGACACTAGTTGTGCTAACTACTGCACCAGCTTGGACTGCACTTTTAGGTATCGCCATGTCACCAAGTGATACTGCAGTGCTGGTATGTGAAAGACCAGGATGTACTAGGCCGCTGGTTCTCACCAGTTCAGAAAAAGGTAGAATGGCAATAGTACTGGCACTCTGCTGCATATGAGAGTCATCATGCGATTGTAACATCTCAGCAACCTGGGAACGGGGTCGGGTACGCCTGATCTTAGCAGGGACCTCTTCTCCATCGTCTGAGCTGTCTGTCAGGGTGCCGCTGCTGTCTACAGGTTCATATTCTGAGGCTGATTGTGTCAGTGAGTCTTCCCCTTCGCTCTTATCTGACATGCTCAGAATCCTGTAGGCCTCTTCACTAGAGTACCTTTCCATTGACATTTTGACTACTAAATGTATAGGTTCCTAGTGCGACTCATGGGAAAAGAGCACCTGGCTGTCAGTGACTGCTTGAACTGCTACAAAAAAATTTACTGGCAAGTGCTAACAGAGATCAGGCCTGATTCTGCGAACACTGCGGTTTTCTGTGCAATGTATCAAGTGACAGTGACCTACTGACACTGCACTTGCTGGGGGAGAAGGGGTGGGGTAAGCGTAGAGGCTAAACACAAGTGCTGGCAGGTGCCAGGGCTGATCCCACTAATGCTGTGTTTATGGGGACACTATACTAATGTGAATGCTGGTATAGTGCTGATCTGATCAAAGAAATTGATCCATTCAGACACTATACTAGCAATGGAAGTTTATTGTGTATATGAGCGTGTTCCTGGCAATCAAGGGGTTAAATGTGATTACTGGTGTACTGACGGGCAATCTAACACTATCTGGGAGGGGCACAAAAACCGCGGGAGCGCGAATCACGTATATATACGTTATTTTGCGCACCCGTGCCGCCCTGTAGCAGTATTTCTACTATAGGGCGGGGGTGGAAGCGATTAGACATGTCCAGTAAAAAAAATTTTAAATCTCAAATTTCGTCATAAAGTTAGACCAAAATGTATTCTGCAACGTCTTTGCTAAAAAAAAAATCCCAAACGTTTAAATTGGTTTACGTGAAAGTTATAGCGTTTACAAATGGTGGTATAGATACTGGATTTTTTTTCTACTAATAATAGCAGCAATCAGCGACTTATAGTGGGACTGTGCATTCTGACACTGGGGGGAACGCACATCGCCAGTGACACCAATACAGTGATCAGTGCTAAAAAAAAAGCACTGACACTGTACTAATGGCACTGGGCAGGAAGGGGTTAACATGAGGGGTGATCAAAGGGATAACTGTGTGCTGGGAGTATATTACTAGGGGACGGGGGGGTGTGCTTCACTGTGTGCCTGAGCCGACAAGGAGGAGGACTGTTAATAAACAAAGCAGTCCTCCTCCCCGTCGGTGATCGTTGGTAATCACATGGCGCCGGCTGGTAATCACCCGGTGATTGACAGCTGCAGACGCGAATGGCGGCGTGGGTAGGGTGCGTGTGCCCCCTTACCCGGAAATGCAAAATCACATATATACATGTGATTTTGTGCACCCATGCCACCCTGCACCAGTATTTTTGCTATAGGGCGGTCGGGAAGCGGTTAAAAACCACAGTCCTGACTTGGTTAAAACTCCCTCTCATTTATTTAAAATCATTTTTTGGCCCAATTTGTTGTCTATTTTGTCTGATGGTATACTTCAACCAGTTCATACACAATTAATTTCCACCTTTTATAATAATCTACTGAGAGGTAAATCTCTCACGTTCTCTAAACCACAAGTCCATTGGCAACAAGATATTCCATATAATTCAGATCACAACTGGCAAGAATTCTTTAATTCATACTTTAATCCTACATTATCTGCCAAAGATAAACTTATCCATTTTAGGTTTTTTTCACAGAATTTACAATACACCATTGAGATTGTTTTAGATACATAAAAGAGATACAACCCTCTGCCATATACAGTATGTAAAAAGGGAAACTGGTGATTTTCTTCATATGATTTAGAGTTACGTATGACAAAGTTAGACTGTTTTGGTCTCAGATTACCGTTTTCATCTCTACTAACTTTGATATCCCTGACATTTGCAATCCCAAGTGGTATTTTGCCACAAAAAAAGTATTATTTTGTACTGTGTTAGAAAACAAGAAAAAAAGTACAGTTTCAGTGGGTACACACTAATTTCCTTCATAATAATTTATGAAAAAAACTGACTAATCAAACTGCACCAAAATACCTGTGGCATACCTATCATAAAAAGTAGCACTAATGGATGCTGATATTGATTGTACCCTACCTGTAGCCACTTTTAGTCAATAAAATAAAAAAGTACACGACAAGATAATTTCTTGCACAATTATTGTATGAGTAATACTGTACGTCAACATAATGTGAATACTTTTTTTTGTTCTGTCGTTTCATTGCTCACCCATTTGGTTTTTTATTGCTCTACTTCCCACACTTTTTGTATTGTTCTTATTCTGAATAAATATTGTAATGACACTTTTTGTAGAGATGTATTTGTTTAATGCTAATAAATTGAAGTATAAAAAAAATAATAGAGAGGAAAAGAAAAATACAAGAAAAAAATGACAAGCCTGCAGTTATCCAAAAGTATCTGTTTGTAGATTACCATTACTAAATATTTCTATAAAGATGCATTTGCTGTATTTTTTTTATAAGTGTGAATTTCCTCTTTCAGGGACCTCAAACATCTCTGCAGCTGCAATGATTGAAAGGCATGTTTATATATATATATATTTTTAAAGAAATTGTAAGAATGCAGAGGAAACTGTGTGCATGGGGATAGAAAGGAAACATCTTACAATGTCACTTGTATAATATAATAATAAAAGCATTCAATCAGTGAAAACGTCTCCTAGATTTGCAGTGATTACATTTTTAGGACATTTGGCTCAGCAGGTACAAGAGTTTCTCATAGAGCCTGAGAACACTTTATGAGTTCCGTCCTGTTTGGAAATACAGTTGCATTCTAACCTGGGTCAAACATTTACAATAATTGCTTCTAATATTAAATTATATTTGAGGAAATCCAAAAAGCTTTCTTTTATTGTTTTATACGCAGGAATTTCCTGTACAAAAGATACAATGTAAAAAAAACTTGAAACTAGAACTTGAAAATATTTTTGAGACATTATTACATATTTTGGTTTTACATATATATATATATATATATATATATATATATATAGGTTTAAGATGATAAGACCACAATAACTGTACTTATTAAATGGATAGACCCAAACCACTTTGCAGATGAATTTTCATCATATAAAGTGAAGTTTCGCTTATTCTATGGAATCAGATAAAACAAGGTAAAAAAAATTAATTTGCAAAGAATATCCAATCATATAAGGGGACATATATCTACATACATCCACTAAGGTTTTCCACCACATTCCCTAAGGGGTGTATGTATAAAAAAATTGCATACCTTTGTCCTTCAAAATTGCACGCAAATTTGTTGATTGCAAAATTTAATGTTCACGGGCTACTATTCACTTTCAATAAGTTTTTATTGAAGTCTTTACAAAAAACAACACATGCAAATATATGAGTAAGACAAATGTGTCGATAAATTTCCAAATAACAATCATCAAACTTCAAAAAATAAAGATAACCATAATAGAAGACAATGAATATTCTGGGTTACAAGCTATTATTACAGTACTGATTAGCATTGTGCACAGAAATGCAGACTGAGCACTAGCTGTATGTCAGAAAGCACTCCTAGATTTTAAGAGCTTGGAAACAGCAGTTTGTTCCATTTACAGAAGTCTGCTGCCTTATAGAAACCTTCTTTATCAATGAAATAGTCACTAGTATCCTCCTAGACACACAAAAGAAATTTCCCTTCATTCCTACAGCAAGTTTTGCATATCTGAAGGCTTAGATGCCCTAGAGATCCAGCTGGGGTGTTCCTGACATCCTCCCACTCCCTTCTTTTCTACACCTTTACTCTTTTTAACCCGTTGGCCCACCTACTGTATGTGATGTTGGTGTGCACGGGTGAGAGGTGGAAGGTTATAAACATCTTTGGAATCTTCAGTTTTCATCACAAAGGACTTTATGGGTTTTTTCTGAAGATTTTTTGATATATATAAGCACTATTTAATATGGGACATTTATATTGTGTGATTTACTAATATTTGTATTTAGGTCTATTTTGCGCTGTTTATCTATATATTTTACTGTTTGTGTTTTCACACGTTTTTTGCACAGCAGCAATTTAGAAGGGTGATTTACTGATTTTTGATTGGCGCAGGAATATTTTTCTTTTGTCTTCTACATAAAGGATTGTGATGATCTCTTCCTGGAATTTCAGGAAGGATCCACTTCTTCCAGTTGCTTTGTAAAGCATGAAAGCGTACAGAGGCAATTGATATAAATATACAGACACTTTTTTTTGTACCAGCATTTGGCTTTACAGGAAACTAAACATGGCTTAATCATCTGATCATTGAAGTCCACCCCTCCCATGTTAAGGTTATAGTGATGGTCACAGAGGGGCTTCTCAACAACACCAGCTGCTGTGAAAATTTGGATGGTCGTGTCTGCCTGAATGGAAGACAGGATGAAAACATCCCGTTTGTCCTTCCACTTCACTGCGAGCAATTCATCGTTTTTCAAGCAGACCTTCCACCTTTCTTAGACGGGTATTTACAAGCTGTTGGGGGAAGCCCCTGCGATAAGGTAGCACAGTGCCACATGCGCTATTTCCAAGATTGTACAAATGTGTAAATAGTGGTACAAGTCAATAAAAATTGTCCATGGATAAGTGGTACCCCACATGGAAAAAGGGTGACACCAGGACCCAAACTATCTTGCCGCTGCTCCCTATGTAGTCTGGGCATCCAGCGGGCTCCACGTAACTAAATTTTCCCTCATAAATATGAAAATTACATGTATTATACATTTTGACCCCATATCTGGCATGCTTGCTGGCGAGAAATTGAATGCAAGGCAGCCAGAAAAATTAATGAGGGTTTCATCAACCCAGATGTTTTGCTGGGGAGTATAGACATCTGCAAATTTCTTGTTAAGATGATTTACGAGCGGGCCGACTTTGGTGAAGCTGATCATATTCAGGGTTACCCCGAGGATGACAGAGTGTATTGTCATTGATATGCATAAATTTCATTATATTCTCATATCTATGCTTGGCCATGGCAGCAGAGAACACAGGCATATGATGAATCGGGTCTGTGGACCGATACAACCACAATTCATTTTTTTTTTAATAATGCCCATGTTGAGGGTTAAGCCCCAAAACAATTTAAATTTGGAAACCATAAGAGATTTCCATGCAAATGGTTTGAAATTTGGGTTGGTGGTGATAAATTGTTGTATTTATAAATTGCTTTGATCCAAAATCAATCCATACAGATCTTCTGTGAAAAATAGCTCCAAAAAACCAAGGGGAGTAGTTAAATTTGTTGTTTCCACCTGAATTCCAGGTAGGCAGTGAATGGGGTAAGTATGGGTGCTGCAGAATTTGTGGGCTGCCAGTCAAGATTTGCAAGCACATCCAAAAGGACACTGGGCTCTGCGGGCCTGTGCTTAAATTCTTGGAGGCTGCGGGACAATACTTGTGCTAGCCACCGCACCAGCTTGTACTGCACTTAAGTGATACTGCAGTGCTGGTATGAAAAAGACCAAGATGTACTAGGCCGCTGGTGCTCGCCAGTTCACCAAAAGGTAGAGCGGCACTAGTACTGGCACTCTGCTGCATATGAGAATCATCATGCAATTGTAACACCTCAGCAACCTGGGAATGGTGTTGAGTATGCCTGATCTTAGCAGGGACCTCTATTCTATCATCTGAACTATCTGTCAGGGTGCCGCTGCTCTCTACAGGTTTGTGTTCTGAGCCTGATTCTGTCAGTGAGGCTTCCCCTTCGCTCTCATCTGACATACTCAGAATCCTGTAGGCCTTTTTACTACTGTACCTTTCGTTGGACATTTTGGCCACTAAATTTATAGGTACCTAGTGTGACTCATGGGAAAAGAGCACCTGGCTGTCCGGAACTGCTTGAATTGCTACAAAAAAAAATGACAGCTAGTGCTAGCAGAGAACAGGCCTGATCTTGCTAACCCTGCAGTTATATGTGCAATGTATCAAGTGATAGTGATCTACTGACAGTGCACTTGCTGGGGGAGAGGTGGGGGTTAAGCGCAGGGGCTAATCGCAGGTACTGGCAGGTGCCAGGGCTAGTCCTGCTAATGCTGCATTTTTAGTGACACTATACTCTTGTGAATG